TCGTTCAGCTCGTCTGCTGTTTCGGTTTCATGCAGATATTTTTATGCATAGTTTCACAAAACTGAAGTCAGACCATTCTGTTTTTGCTTCAACTTTCGAAACTATACAATCTAATTTAGATTAAAAACTGCTGGTGTTGCATGTATGCAGCATCTTTGTTTGGATCGTGATTAAAATGCAGTGGTTGCCTCTAAGTTTAAATGTAAGGCACAGACAAAACCTTAGTTTGTTTATATGAAGAGATTTATTTTATTTGTGTCACTTATTTGATCTGGGGCTTGTTTTAAAATTTCTATTTAGTTTAGTTTTTTACATTTTGTTATTTAGCAGATGCTTTTATCCAAAGCGATTAACAAATGGCAGCAATCAAAACCAACAAAAGAGCAATAATATACAAGTGCTATATTCAATTGTGATCAATTTCACAAAGAAACGTGCAGCATTTTGTCCAAGCAATAATAAAAGGACACATTTAATTTATAATTTGTCTTAAATCTCATTTTGTAAAAAAAATTAATCGTGAGTTGAGTGAATCGTTACATGCCTAGCTTGCAGTTATGTGTCGTGTCCCCCCCCGCAGACAGTGGAGGCATGATGGACAGGCCTTGCACCCTGACTGGGACCCCAGAAAGCATCGAGTAAGAATGTTTAACCCTTGAGCTTTCAGATTCTCTCTTATATGCTGTCAGAGTTTACGAATGCACTGAATGAGCGTTCGTGTTCATCAGGCAGGCCAAGCGGTTTTTGGGGCAGATCGTGGACCGGTGTCGGAACGGACCGGGCTTCCACACTCAGATGGACGGGAACAGCGCTATCCAAGAGATCCTGATCCCGGCCAGTAAAGTCGGCCTGGTCATCGGGAAGGGAGGCGACACCATCAAACAGCTGCAGGTGCGTTCATTTGTTGGTGTCAGGTGTTGCGTAACTTTTAACAAGAGTAGCAGATGAGCTATTGACAATTTAATTGCTTTTTAAACCTTGTGTTGTTTAATCAAAACTCAAGTGACATTTATTCATATAGCTCTTTATGCAATATGTGACCCTGGAGCACAGGTCAATTTTTTGAAATTGAGATGTATACATCATCTGAAAGCTGAATAAATATCTTTCCATTGATGTATGGTTTGTTAGGATCGGACAATATTTGAAAATCTGGAATCTGAGGGTGCAAAAAAATCTAAATATTGAGAAAATCATCTTTAAAGTTGTTCAGATGAAGTTCTTAGCAATGCATATTACTAATCAAACATTAAGTTCTGATATATTTACGGTAGGAGATTTACTAAATATCTTCACGGAACATGATCTTTACTTAATATCCTAATGATTTGTGCCATAAAAGAAAAATCTTTTTAAAAAGACACTTGCTTTGTTTCTGAAAGAATTAGCCATTTGTACAAACTGAGTGAGTCAATGATTCAGTGACTCATTTGTAAAGACAGTCATTTGCTTGGTCTCTGAATGAATCAGCCGTTTGAACAAATCGAGTGAGTCAATGATTAAGACAGTGACTTGCCGCCACTTACCTGAACTTGTAGTTTCATATAAATTATTTTTGAAAATGAAAAGATATGCTTAATATTTCAATATTCAAAAAGCTTCTGTTTTGTAATGTCTAGTCATCGCTTTTCTCATATAACACAGTAATGACTTAAATTATCTTTTGGGGGTAATGTCTCAGCCAGAGCTGATGTGCAATAAATCAGACTAAAAGATAATTTTAATTGTAATTTAATGTTGTTTTCCCACAGGAGAGGACAGGAGTAAAGATGATCATGATTCAGGACGACCCGATGCCCACTGGATCAGACAAGCCCTTGAGAATCACTGGAGACCCTTATAAAGTTCAGGTGTGTGTGTTTATCAGCGATGCAGTCTCCGATCCGCAGTGGTGTCGTGTGACGTCTGACTCTGAGTGTGTGTTCTACAGCAAGCGCGGGAGCTGGTGCTGGAGATC